GCCTGTTTTGGACCCGAACCGCCATTACCTGGACCGGACCGCGGTTCCAAGACCCGTTTGCCCACCCCTAGTCTAGTGTCTCTTGATAGCTTAACTACTAATATGTCATCGTCAAGCAATGCAAGAACGCAACACACTAATACCTTTGCCGCTCAACCATCGAGATTACCAACATACATGGATAATAGAGCCCAGTTCCGTGGGAGGAATATACACACCGCACTAATAAATGACTTGATTGAGCACATTTGGCAGAAATTAAGTGGTGAATGGAATGACATTTAATAATTTACACATCATGCAATCGTTTTTACTTTTCTATTCACATGTCTTCGATTTTATGATGAATTGAACTTGTACTCTTTTGGATTATGTCGTTAATTTATTTAATGATTAGAATATAAAAATAATTACATGCAAAACCATTATTTAAATAAAATTTAAAATAATATTGTGCGTCAAATATGAATTAAGGGCGTAACAATTTTTTAAAATACGCTTATTTTTTATATGCACAATAAATAATTATAGTGGGGTAAATGCGGATTTTGTATTCCTTTTTCAAATTAAATAAATTAATAAAGGTGGGATATATAAAAAATAAGGAGAGAGTGTAAAAATTTTAAGTGACCTAGGTCATCATAGTGGGGAGAAAATGTGATAGGTTAGAAGGGATTAAGTTTTTGGAGGGAATTGATATGGAAGAGAGAGAAGAGGGTCAAATGCCATTAAAGGGGATGTGCGGACATATTGACGGATTGGCTCAAACATTGCAAAAGAAACAAAAAGGGAGGCCCACCTCATGTTATTCAGGGCTCCCAAAGCCTATAGAAGAGAATAACTACAAAAATCAAAGAGTGCAAAAATTAAAAAGGAAAATTGCCCGCATAATTCTTATCAGTGCGTAGGGTGGATTGTTCACTTCATATCTCGAGCTACACTCATCCAAATTAGGCGCGTGAGGTGCCTCAACAAATCTCTAAAGATAAGGAATCTGTGAAGTTGAAGTTTGCAACGAACGGAGTATTGTAAGGTCTCCTAATCATTGAAGACAAACACAAACTCGCAAAAACGGCTTTACTTCTCTAAAGTGAGTTTGAATCCAAAACATTTCTTTTCATTGTCTAAATCACATGAACGATTGAGGGGACTACTATACACTTTTTCTAGTGTATAAAATGTTCTTGATAGGTTATTTTATTGATGTAAATGTTAAATACTAACCTAGAATAAACCTTTCTAGGGATTGTTTTCATACCTTTGGTTAGGGGATGAACTAGCACCTTGAGGAGGCTTCGTAGCACTAAATTATAAGCATGGAATCAGTTCTCAACCTTCCTTGGCCGAAGTTTTGACCATTGGATCGAGAAAGAAAAGTTTGAAGCTCATTTGAGGTAAGGATCGACATCTACTTGCTTACACTGTAGGTTAAGCACGTGATTACCTAAATGTCTAAATCATGTTTTCATGCATTATGATGCTTGAGTATTGATAAAATATGGACATATTTGATAAGTAATGAACTTGATAATGACTTGAGGCCATATTGACAATATGGAGTTAAATGAGCCATTAATGGACTATTATGTTAAATATACATTTTTACTCATGTATATATTGTGTAGATATATACTACGTATAAATGAATGTTTATATATTGAAAATTGGATACTTAGGTTGTTGTCACATATCTCATATTAATCAAAATTACAATACTTTGAATGTTGAAGGACATGTAAATATAAAAAAAATATTACCTAAACATCAATGGTTGGAAGAAATGAGCTTCCACACCTCAAGAACACCATGAAGAACAAATAAAAACTATAAAAACTAGTTATGAACTAATGGATTAAATTGGGATTGAATGATGAATTTGGGATGAATTGGAGGGTTTATATAGGCTTTAAAATGATATTAGATGGTTTATTCAGGATCCTCAATCAACTTGGGGTGAAATTTCCAAGCCATACCTTCCAAATATCTTCAAATCAACTCAAAATATCTAAGCACGCCGTCTGTTTTTTCTGCAGATTTGGGGTAACCGGCGCCGTTTTGGGTTTAACCATTGCCGGTTTGAGTGGAATTTCGATGAAAAAAATGTTGAACCGGCGACAATTAGGTGGTGAACCAGCGTCAGTTGTGTTTCGGCAATTCCGGCGTCTGAATTTTTACAAGCAACCGACGCCAGTTTGGTGCCATTCCAGCGCCGGTTTTGTCCTGGGATTTTGAAGATGTTCCGCTACGAATTTGGACATGATTCTTTCACCAAAGTTGTAGATAATGAAGTCTTCTATCCATCAAAACTTGAATGACGTGTTTCTAATCATCCAATCAAAAGATATGGATAAAACATTGAGAGATATGCATCCTGAAATCCCACCAGCAACATCAGACTGTATTGAGTCTTGATCCTTTCATATTCTAGCCATGAGTCTTCATAACATTTGTAGCTTATTGAATTATCATTCACATGAAACTTCACACCGAGTCATTTGGAATTTTATACAATAAGTTATACTCGAACTTCCGGCATTACGTCATCTTCTTGGTTAAAAAAAGCCGTTCATCGCAATATTTATGTTTTAGCTCTCATTTTGAAGCGTATTTGACCGACTTCTCTTCTTTTATTCAACAAATACTTATAAATACTTATATTAAACACAAGTAAATATAAAATCTATCAAACCCCAAATATGATGGGACTCACAAATAGGAATATTTGATTTGGTAATAATAATCTTAATAGTATTGAGATACTAGTTAATGATTGTTTGCAATTGTTAATAGAACGGATCCCAAGGTTTGGATTGTATGTGATGCACTTAAATATACTTCAAGTGTCTAAATTGATTTAGTACAAAACTAAGATCAATTTATGGGCAGTCCCTAAGGATAACCCAAAGTAGTTTATTGATATGTCAATTCTAGGCATAGGTTTTGCTTAGGAATTGGGTTCTATGATTTGTATGATGTTGAACTAGAGCCGAGCTCTAGGATTGCATGGTGATGTAATTGAGCCGAACTCTAGAATGCAAGGTGAGGTACTTGATCCGAATGATATGAATTGCACGGTGATGTAATAGAGTCGAGCTCTAGAATGCAAGGTGATGTAATAGGGTTGAACTCTATGAATTGTCGTGACTTGTAGTCACGGAGAATGGGGATGGTGATTTCTAAATGAAAATGGGCCCACGGGACGACTACTATATATTAAGTATATTTTCAAATGGGGTAACTTGGGGTTACGACCTATATTGTACTATCACTCTACTTGAGGGTCTTGTGTTTGAAATACTTATTGTATATCTATCAGATGTCATCCACACCAGTACTTTATATCCCTGTACTGTAGTGGCCCTTTCAGGGGTGTCCCATCACCATCTAAGGTTGAGGCTAGAGCTTGCTTCCTATACCGGTTGTTCAGACGATCATAAAGGGGAGGAGACTTGGTTCGTGCTTCCTCCATTCTATTCTGAACAATAATAAACTTGCTCGTGGATATTTTTACTTTAGAGTCTGCGTGCTCATGTTGCCCCGTGTGGCATTTGGTTTTAAACTATAATTTCCGTTGCGTATTGAATTGCTTATTATGTTTGTTTATGGATGACTATATGTGTATGATATTCATTATGCCTTGTATGGTTTGGGTAAGGTTGACCACGGTTGACTTATCTAGATTGTATGGCGGTTGTTAACGTGTCCGGTGAGGTCCGGGCGAAGTCATAATTGTCCTGTATACTTTTTGGATGTTTTTAATATTGTCTCTCTTTCCGCTTTTAGTAAGTTTTTCCCAACAAAATACCTCTATACCATAACTTTTATTATCCTTATCTTTTTTACTTTTTACATACTAATTTCTCTTTCATATTTTTTCATGACCTTTTCTCTTCTTAATATATTATCTTTTCTACTTTTTCATTATTTAAAAGGAAAGAGCTTTTATTAACAAAGAAACGAACATTCCCACGGTCACAATAAACAAAGTCTCCCTAGGAGACTCTGTATAACCAAAAGGCTCTCTCACTCTTTGATTAGACATAAAACAAATCATTCAAATTCGAGTGAAACTAGTCGTTAATCATGCGATAGCTGCGAAGCTTTTAACGGCCGAACAAGCCTTATCGCTTCTACCCAAAGAACCAACACGGAAAATAAAAACAACAAAAAACCTACCTCTAATGTCCAAATAGATAATAAAACTGAAACAGTATATTCAAAAGACAATAAAAAAAATAAAAATACTGCATGTACGTAAACCCTAGCTTCTCGTTCATTTCTTAGCGGTGGGTCAGAAGAGGGGCAGACCATCGACACTTCACCTTCTTCCAATTTGCCCCTTCCAATTTGCTGATCGTTGCATCTCATTCGCACTCGCCTAAGGCATCTATCACACTGAACCTTCATCTTCATCAACGAGGAAAACATTGGGCTGTCACCCCTGACATCTTCACTACTAACATGGATCAGTATTTTTTGAAGTAATAGCCCCTACCTGAGACAAGTTTTTTTCCGATGTGCCTGAATCCATAGTCTCCACCACCACAAATTCATCCTCCTCCTCCACATCCATTCGTCTGTATGCTTGAGCCAACCCTTCTATTGCTTCCTGGTTGTAACCTTCCTCCATCAAAACTCCTTTGTTATCGATCGGCCATTCGATGAAGCATTGTGGTCGTCTGCCCTTTCATTTCTCTTGTCGCCTTGTCTCTATGAAAATAACTGTCGGACTAATGTTCAATTCCACCTCAGGAGAAGTTACGCAAAAACCCTAGGATACCTACTTACCTAGGGTCCGTCCTTTTACTCTTTAATTTACCCTATACCCTATATATTATTCATACTATTTTTTCTTAAAAATCATAAAAAATCCAAAAGGACAATTATTAGAAAAAGGAGGGAGTATAATACTTCTTTGGGCTTGGTTGTACAAAGTTCTGAAAAAAAAAACTAAGCTGAACATTGAGCCGAACATTTTTTAAAGCCCACCACCTAAAATGACCCTCCTTTCTCCTAACAGCCTGCACCACCACCGCTCAGGAACCCACACCCATTCGACGCCAGGCGCCGCCTTTGTATATAAAAACCGTTAAAACCAAACCTCTCTTCGAATTGGAAGAGGAATGGATGACGGAGAAGCTGCTCAGACAGCTCAGTGCCAAGAGTGCAAATTGAAGCCATGGAAATACAAATGTCCCGGTTGCTCTCGCCGCACTTGCAGTCTCCCTTGCGTCAAAGCCCACAAGGAGATATCTGGTTGCACCGGGAAAAAGCCATTCAATGACGTCGTTCCTATCTCACAGTTCGACGACAACCTTCTCTTATCAGGTTGAATTCTTAATCCCACTTTGATAGTCGCTTCGCTTTTTCCTAGCCAATTTTGCGAAAGTTCTGGTCTTTCTACTATCAGCAATTTACGAAGAGTGCTCTCAACCTTAAATCATCGAATCCGTAGATTTTCCCTTCTTCTGTTCGATTTATTAAAAAGTTGCTTGCATTTTGAAATGAATTATACTTGCAAACGAAGTGAAAATTACAAATTTATAACATCAATGCTTGTTGCATGTATTATCTGTTTCCTGATTGGTTCCAGGGAAGCTATGGTTTACCCTGTAGGCTGTAGGAAGTAATGTGATGGTAAATTTTGGGTCTTTTCTGCAGATTACAATATGCTAGAGGATGTTAAGAGGGTTGCAGATTCTGCTAAAAAAATGAGCGATAGGTTTTGTTGCTATCCTCAGTTCTGGCTTCCTTATCCTCTACATAGTCTTAAGAGGGCTGCCTCTAGTCGTAGAACAACACTCCTTTTTCTTCCCCCTGGGATGTCAAAGAGAGAGAAAAACCTGTCTTCTTACAACAACAGGTATTTTCAATCATGTAGAATACCATCCATTAGCGAGATTATTGACATATAAACATTCTCAGACAGAGCCTAACTTTCATCTTATTCCCAGAAAAAAGTTCATATCATGGACAATAGAATGGCAGTTCCACTGTGAGAAAGATGTTGTCTTGATGGACCACCGGTAATATATACATAACGTATTTTTAATGTCATTGCTTGATGGCTGTCTAATTGTGTATATATAGGCAGAAATAAGTTCATCATACGTATAATTATTGCTTCTACTGCAGTGTACATGAAGACACAAACCTGCGATCTTTGATTGAGAAACATCTAAATCTGGGACCTTGGAAGCATCCTTTGAAGCAATTTTGTAACATGCCACTGGATTCTCTTAAATTCTTTATCCGGAAACATCATAAGGTTTTTGCCTCTTTAACATTTTCTTTGGAAGGCTCTATTATATTACCTCCGTCCCATGGAAAGGTTACCGTCTACTATTCTCGTGTCAACGTAAATTGTTTTTAGTTTATATATCCAACTTTTGTCAAATTTGAGTTTTTTTTTTGCGACTTTATAAAACTTTTGATGTAGTTTGTGAATATACTACCTCCGTCCCGTTGGAATGTTCCTGTTCGGTTTACGATGCTTGACTGACGATAAAGCAACTCGATCCCTGTTCACACTCCGCTTATTTTTAGTAAATAAAATTTACATATTCAAAAACTACATTAAAACCGCTACAAAGCCTGATCAAGAAAAGTTCAATTTGATAAAAATTTGATATATAAAGTAAAAGATTAGGAGTGACCTAAGTTGACCAATGAATAGTGAACGGGAACATTCCAACGGGACGGAGGGAGTATAAAACTTTATCTACTAAAATATTTTTTTATTATTGTTAGGGATCAATTAATTAACTTTAATGGTCAGTCAAACATCGTAAACATGAGAACCTTTACTCGGGATGGAGGGAGTAGTATCTTTGTGGAACATCATTACTGGTATTTTGTGGGTTCTTGAAGTTTGTTTGTGCGATGTTTAATAATTACCATTTCCGTTCCAAATATAACTCCTACAAGGTCTCGGGTTTGCAGTGATTTTTATATAGTGAAAACTACTCCGTATGTGATTGAAAGTTGTTGAGAGGAGAGAGAAGCAATATCAACCACATAATATTTTGCTTAAAATGAAAATGGAGTTTATTTTGAGCTAATGAAAATGGATAGAATGAAGTTTATTTTGAGAGATGATTATTAACTTAGTTTTTTTTTCTTTCATAAGTCCTGTTATTAAAAGTTTAGTTGTATTTCCAATTTCCAATGCAGGGGCACAAATCTCCTTACATCCAGCTAGATATAAATGTCCCATTACGCGAACAATTATGTAACTTAATCATTTTGGAGTACCCTGTCATCCATGTCTTTCTTCCAACACTAGCAATTGAGTTTGAGGTTATAAAAAAACCTATTCCTGAACAAGTAAAGCCTAAGGAAGTTATTAACAATCACAGCCCATCGAGTCCCAAAGGAGTAACATTCAAGGAGGAGGAGATAGAAGATGATGAGTCTTCAGATCCTCGTCAATGTCCTCATGTTTCATACCCCATAAACAATGCCGATAATGTAGAAATAGTTACGCCTACGACTTCTTCTGTAGAAGAAAAGGGTAGTGAAGAACAATCTGTTCAGGATGTCCCTTCTGATAGGGAGGACTCTGGGGCCATGGATTTGGCTTTTCTTGACAACATGGCCTTTGAATTTGATGCGAAGTTAATTGATACATACACAGATCTCATTGCAGAATCTAATCCGGATGCTTGCCTTGACGGTTCATCGACTGATCCGCAGTATCTGTTTGACGGGAGTTGGGATGATTTTTGTACTGGTATGCTGCCCGGCAATGAAGAATTAGAGGAAGGAGAAATTGCTCCTTGATTTGACTGTATTTTACAAATGCCATTGGCTATGCTGTTAATGTTAAAGATGTCCATCGTATTGATTGGCATATCAGGGAATCTTTAACAATCCGCAGTATCTGTTTGACGGGAGTTAGGATGATTTTTGTACTGGTATGCTGCCCGGCAATGAAGAATTAGAGGAAGGAGAAATTGCTCCTTGATTTGACTGTATTTTACAAATGCCATTGGCTATGCTGTTAATGTTAAAGATGTCCATCGTCTTCTTATAATGTTCATATAAGTTCTATACTTATAAATGGGTCGGCCGGTTGGGGCTTGGGCGCTTGGCATATCAGGGAATGTATTGATTGATCGGCTTTTGGGATTTCCTGAGTGTTAATTCTGTTGCTCACCAGGTTTGTTGTTCGTGTTGTTTTTGTTTTATACTTTTGAATATTATCGTTTTTGTCTGTATTAAAAAGGTTTGTAATATTTGCAAGTCTAAATCTTCGTCCATTTTCCAAGCGTGGTTTAGAAGTTAAAAATACTACTCGCAATCGTTTTTGTCTGTATTAAAAAGGTTTGTAATATTTGCAAGTCTAAATCTTCGTCCATTTTCCAAGCGTGGTTTAGAAGTTAAAAATACTACTCGCAATCGTTTGTGGCTTTGTGCCAAGACAAGATATGGATTATTTGTGTTAATAGACACTCCATCTCAGTTAAGTTCTACATTTCCTGTTTCGGATGCCCTAAAACTAAGTTCCTATTTCATTTACTTTCTATTCCAACAAACAACATCGTCCAAGCTTTATTTCCCAAGACATTATGTTTTACCCCATATCATACTACCTAGCTCTGTCTACATCTCTGGAATCTCTCGGTCTCTCCCCTCCTTATAATTGCTCCACCTCGGAGATCTTGCCTATAAAAATGTGCTCCCTTTAACTGAGGTCCTTGAAAGATGTACGAAGTCATATGCCTCTGAGCAAAAAGTCACCAGCAAAGTCGATCAATCAAGAGCATCCATCCATCCAGCCGCCTTCAGAAACCTAACATGACTTTATATATGTATACAAAGTACTCTGTATAAAATTTTGGACTCCTTTAGGTTCTTATAATTACAATAGTATTACGTAACCAACTTTTAAATGAAATTAAAAAAGCCTTCATACATACAAGGATATTAGAAAATCAAACATCTATCGAGGCCATATATTGTCACAAATGATGTACACAAATGATTGCTCTCATTCTTGCACATATTTTACCTATATCAAACTTGATGGAGTATATTGTCACATACCTTAGGGGTACCAACATTTACGATAAACATTCTTCAGAGTCCACTAAGGCAACTTCGACCAAGACCGTGCCCGTCGAGGCTGAACTCAAACCAGATTTCAGATCACGGAGATAAGTCCAAAACTGCAGAGGCCGAGGCCGACCCTCGCCGAGGTTGGTGACAATTGGAGCACTATTGCCGAGCACCATGAAACCACCACTTTACGAGCTTGAAGATTAATAAGAGTGTTGTCGCTTCACGGTACGAGCCGATGTTCCCCGCCTCTTAGCTAACCACATTACACCGCAAGCTTGGGGCCTCGTACAAAGATTGTGGACTTAGACATTTCAACACTTGGATATCACAAGCATTCAAGACTATGTCACTGCGAGACAACTGTCCCAGGGCTAACGTCACCTATTTTGGTTACACATGCCAACTATTTGACTTACACGTGTGGCCTATCCAGCCATACCGATGCACAAGGACAACAGCTAGAATAACAGTAACAATCAATTAGACATTGTCTCTTCATTTAGCTTTACACATGTCATCAAACTAGTGTGACAGTTATTTTTACTTGATCCTCAAGTATTTCCTTGTACACTGTAAATATCACCTGATGGACAGTGTACCCGGGGATAGCTTATCTGAGGGGTTGTTGCGGGAAATAATCTAGAGAGAAGTCAGAGCAAGCAAGTAGGAGAGAGAGGTGATTATATTTATGAACTCGAGATGTTCTAGTCCTTTACGATGGGGAAAAGGGCTGCTATTTATAGCAGCAATAAATGAGATGAGAGTACACGTGGCAATAATCTAACGGCCGAGGGGTCACCTCAACCGGGTGGCACTGGCAATCGCATGTGCACCGCATTGAATGCGGTGAGTGGATGTGACGTCGCATTAAATGCGGTGGTTGCTTGTCTGCAAAGGGAATCTTCGATGATTGAGTTGTTGACCGAAGGCTCCCCCTTCGGCCGAGGGCTTTGTGTAGCCGAAGGCACGGGAGTGCCGAAGGCTTCCCTGATGCCGAGGGCACCATGTGTTTGGCCGAAGGCTACTGGTAGCCGAGGGTTACCGTTCTACGCCGTTTTCTCCCAGTAGCTTCGTATGCTCATATCTGGTTGCCCTGTGTATTTTGGAGCCTTCGGCCAAGGAGGCCGAAGGCACCCCAGTGTGTATTTTGGGCTTCTTTGAGACTTGGGCATCTGCATTTGGGCCTCGAATGCTCCTTAGGCCCAATGAGCCTGTGTAGGAGAGGTAGGAGTCTATGGGCCGGGGGTCCCTGGGCCATATACTCCATCATCACCTTCCAGCTTGTGGAAAGAGATCACATTCTAAATTCTTAAACTTACTTTACGCTGCCAAATTTCTTACTTGATCTATACTTAGTTACTTTCTCACTCTCTCTCTCGGTTCTTGCCTACCCCTAGGTCGGCGAAGCCATCACAACTATTGAACAATCTTTTTCTGCTATAAACATTGTTAAGACTACACTAGATTATGCTTCATAAGAAGATGGAAGATGAATTTCTTATAGATCTTTTCCTAGTGTATATTGAGAAGGAAATTGCAAAAAAAAAAAAAAAAAGTGGATCGATATTTCATAGATTATCCTTGTGAGATGTAGGAGAGAGGTTCTAAATTTTAATTCATGTGTTGTTTAATCATGTAATAATTTTAAGTAATTTAACTGAATTGAGTATTAATACATGATTGTATGTTAATTTCAATTGTTTTTTTCGAATGCCATCTCCCACTTCTATGGTAGTCGGGATTCGCCCCTCTTAGTAAGGGTAGTATTGAAAGTGTATGCACAAATGTATTCCATCTAAACCTATGAAATCAAATCAAGAACTTTATTTAGATAAAAGAGAGAATAATGATCAAAGGTATGCATACCCTCAAAATAATGATCAAAGGTGTGCATGAAGCAACACTAATGATTTTTAAAACAAAAATGATGTTTGTACCCACTCTTATACCCACTTTTGTATCTACCCATGTTTGTGAAAGTTTTTTTTGTCTGTGAACTGGGTTCACAAACAAAACACTCCACAAACATGTTGGATATAAGGTGAGTATAGAGTGAGTACATCAAGCATAGTACGTCCGTTTGGTGATCATGTTTTTCGGTTTATCATGCTTATCAGTCAACTTTTTCACTGAACACGTAACTTTTGATTTCCCGTGCTAAATTTATATCTATATATCTATATAATATATATCTTTATATAATATAAAGTAACAGTCGTTACACCATAACTGGAGGGAAAAATCCCGCCCAAACTAAGGACATAATGGGAAATCTATGTGAAATGTATAAGTAAAATATTGTCCATTCATGAAAAAGTATCGTATGAAAGTGTGAAATTATGGCAACATTATATTGGAGCATTTATTGGCCACCTTATGAAAATATGGTAAGATAATTTACTACTAATATGTATGTGTTGACTGACTGTTCCTAAAATGTATAAGCTCTTATCCTTACATATACGGAGTATTACTTTTGGAAAAGAAACAAAATTAATTTTAAAGTTATACACATTTGTCTCATATATACGTACTTGAAGGGCATGCATAGATAGGAGGAACCCTGGAACTGACCTACCCAAATTTTAAAAATGTCTAATTTTTTAATGTAGAAAATTTCGCATAATTTTTTCCCAAAAATATTATTTGTACCGGCCCAGTCCGATCCAATGCCCTGACTTCGCCTCTGCGTATATGATAAGAAATGTATTTAACCATGCATGTCATATATGTATGGTAAGAGGATCAGGTGCAAACATCTTCTTTAGATGTGATAATAAATTCTTAAATTGTCATAAAAAGTTTGTTTTAACAAAGGAATCAATTAAGTGTATAATTTTAGTCACGTATCACGTATGCATTCAACCTGAATGCTTTCAATGGAGAGTTCATGTATGTATGTGTGGTAGAGTGTTGCAAGTTAAGTAGTACCAAAAGCCATACAATGTTCGTGCGCTCGAAATGATTTTTACTAGACCATCAAGTAATCTCAAGTGTTCCCAAATCTACCCTTATAATAAAAAATAATTTTTTTCATTTGAAGCTAGCTATTTTACTAAATTTAAAATTGGCCTTCATAATTATAATTGGCCTTCATAATTAAACACATTTGTGAACTTTACTTCAAAATAAATTCTTAAGTACGTAATATTTAATTCAAATTTAATTTACTAAATGCATCTTCAAATTTAATTCAAATTCAATTCATCTTAAAATGTATTTCCGAATGATTAAATGATTTTTCTAATGTTCTAAATTTCATTGTAATCAATCTACTAAATTGGTATGAGTGTTTAGTTTGATTAAATTTTCTAACCCTCCCCATGGTTTTTATGATTTTCCCATGGTATAAATTCAAATTCAAGAGACATACATATTTTCCAAATGCCTCATCCGGTAGTTTCATGTGAAATTAGTGAAATTATTGTAGATACCTATTTTTCAAATGAAAGTGGAATTGGTCTTATACTAAATGATGTGATTGATAAGCTCAAAATGAAGGTAAATAACCAAACATGTTTTTTGAGCGTTGAATTCGCTAAATTGACTGAATTTGCTGAATTATGGAAAACCTATATTCAAGATACATTTTATTAATAAAATAAAGAAAGAATATAATAATTAAAATGGTCTTTTATAGTAACTCCAACCAATTTAGCCAAATCAGTAACTTAACCTTACTTATTTTGATTGATTTAACGCGTGAAATTAAAAATTACGCATTTTGTAAAAACAGTTGGTTAATAAGGCTAATAAACTGAAAATGTGGTTACCAAATGTAAAATATATATGGGTTTGGTGAGGATATTAAGAAAGTAAACGATAAAATGATTACTTTAAAATTGTTTGACCAAAAGTAAGAAAGAGTAAGATGTGTCCATAAAGAGTAAAAAAAATAAAATGAAATAATATAAAGTGATAAAGTGAAAAGGTAAAAAGTTAGAAAAGTATTCATATTTTTTAAACAATTTAAAAAAGGTAAATGTATCTTACAAAATGAAACAGAGTAATATCAATTTTATTTCTATCTCTTATTTTAATTTAGTCTATTATATGTGACAAATGGAAATGGAATTATAAAACAAAACTGGAATAGAAGATAATACAAATAAAAATAAATAACGTTAATGACAAATAAATTATTTGATATGGAACATTTTAATTCATTTTAAACAGCTAAATAATAAAAATTGTGAAGTTTAGGTTGTGTCAAAAGAGTGTCAGTATTATTATGATGTTTTTTATTGAACTGATTTCACCCCAATAGCAATCCAAAACAAGCCAGACAAATTTACATTAGACCAGATTTTAGCAATAGTAAAATGGATGTCTACAATTTCAACAATTACTATGATTAGCAATAGAATTTACACATTTAAATCTATTATAATTGCATGTGCCATTTTTCGTATTCTTCTACACATTATTGATATAATAAATTAAAAATCCTAGAAATTAATGAAAAATATTTAATGATTAACTGTACCGGTGCCCACTTCAAAGGTATGGGTTACGATGGCTACAAACAGATAATGGAACAAGTATGTATAAATATTAACCTTCCAATTACCAATAGTAAAACATAAAATTACCAATAGTATAAATGTAATTTTCTACATTTTAAATGTGATTTCCTCCATTTTAACTAGATCAATTGGTATATGTATTTACCTAGATTTAATTTTTTCTCATGACTTAAACATTGTAAATTAAATCATAAAATTAAGTTTAATATCTATTGGTCTGGCAATAAATATGACATTATGGTGGATCGAGAACAAATATGCATTTAACTTTATTTGCTAGCCGCATGCTAATTTCCTCGCACTACATTACATATATTCATGGTCCAATGAGTAATTTTTAGTCAAACAAGCTTCAACCGTTGTAACTAACGGGTAATGAGCATAAACATGAGTAACATTTTAATAAGTAGATCACCAATATTTTAATATAAGAATTTATTATATTTGAATAATGTTTGGTTAAGTCGATCACCAATCTTTTCGAATCACATCCCAATTCAAAGATGTTGATTTTTAACATAGATCAAATTATATAATAGGTTAACAAGCATAACAACAAACCACATGATAGAGTATATGGGTTCGGATACATGCCCAGTCACACTTTTGGATACACAATGGATCAAAACCAGTCACACTTATGAAGGCCTCTCAACAAGCTCGGCCCAGAATGAAAAAAACGGCTCTTCGTCCATACAATCACCTTGATGGGTCATCACTGATGACACCTCGGCCATAGAACCCAGTCAGTAACTCAGGAACAAGGAGAACACCAGACCCGGAGTGCACCCCTGCACCTCGACCATCATCACCTCGACCCACAAAAAACACTTGGGCAGAAGTCAATCAGGGAATGACACACGTCAATTTTTGCTACGCCACAAGGATATGATCTCGCCCATAGATTAGCCGACACATGTAATGCATTTAATGCACTGCCTCATTTATCACTACTCTAAATATCCCATTGGGATAGTTTTAAAGGGTTCGAATATCTTTTAAAATAAGTTCTCTCTCTCAACTTTAGCCCTTCCTTCTTTTATTATACCAGTAACGATTTACCAGTAAACTATCAATAGACTATACTATCTTTTTATTTTCATAAATTAATTGTTCATTATGTACATTAGAATAAAATATAATTTCAAACAAATCGTTGTTTTGTTCTAGATGTACCCGTGCATCGCACGGGTATTTCGTCTAGTATATATATATAATAATATAATAATATAATAATAATAATAACAAAATAGTGGGAGCAAGATTTAGGCGGGAACACTGTAGCACTTTGGGTGAAATAGTGTAAAAAATATTGGTGTATTTAAAGTGTTAAACAATTAAATGGGCGTATTGGAAGCTTATTTTGGCCGGAGCTGTGGTTTGCTATTCCGGTATTCCACTATTCCCAACGAATTTCAAAGTTAGAAAAACGAGATGATGATATCAAACATGACTTTTCAACTTCCATTCCACATACTCCGAATAACTTTCGATCAAATATACTACCTCGGTCCCACTAAGATTGGGACAAGAGAAGGTGACACGATTATTAAGAAAAGTGGGTTTGTGTGGTTGATATTAAATTGATAAAGTAAGAATGGTTTAGAGTCACACAAACTTTACCAAATTTGGTATGATCGAGACCATCTTAGTGGGACTTCCCGAAAAAGTAAAATGGGACAATCTTAGCGAGACGGAGGGAATACTCCTACAATGGTGGGTATTAAATATTACGGAGTCATTGAAATTGGCATTATAGATACTCTTCATTTAATTTGATACGGAGTGTTATCACACTACTATGATCACATTTTGTAGTAGCTAAAATTTCTTTTTCCATCTATGTATGTGTACGGATGTACCTCATTCTGTCTACACTATCCGAACTACAAATCTCTCTGCTGTTTTGATGCTATTGCTGAAAACATGAGGGTAAGGACGTAAGATATAGATAACTAGATATGGTATTCTGGTATGTTAAACTCATATAGTCATATTTACTTTTTTGTCAATGATGTTTAAATTTGATCAATAATATTTATCAGAATGAAATAATTTAAAATATGAAATTATATATAAATGTTTTTGTTAAATATAATTTCATAAAAGTATAAAATTATAAATTTCACATACATATTACGGAGTATTACTTAAATTACTATTCAAAGTTCATTATGATTGATGGAGAAAAGTTGATTTGGCTGAGTTTTTTGGGAGTATGTATTTGTGTATAGAAGCAATTCGTGAAAGTATGTCTACCGCACGCTATTTAATTATAGTTATACTTATGCCATGTTCCAAGATAACTAATGCTTCTCTAATTTGTCATGTGTGATGTGTTAATTTTTTAAACCAGATATCTCTTTAGGAAAAGGTGAAAAAATAAGAATTATCCGGAGTATATGATACACTCAGGGGAGGATCTATGTTAGGGCTATGGTGGGCTGAAGCCCAGGGCAAAGCAAAAAAAATAAGTTTTTTAAGGTATTATTTTGACATAATTCCATCTAGCCCAGCCCGGGTTTTTGTATAGCCCAGTCCAATTTTTCAGCCAAGTCTATAAAACAAAATCTTACCATATAAAAATCTAATATAAATGTTATACACATCACCTCCCACTTAATAAGTGGCACTTAATTTATACGTATAATGGCCATAAAGCCCACAAAGCATCAATGTAATAAATACAATAAAATATGATTCAATTAAGAACTTGATTAGCATGTTCACATGAACTTGTAAAGTGTTTGAGTATCTTCAACAACATTAATTGCCCAAAAGTGAGTTCTTGGGCAAAAGTTTGTAGTGTATATAGACATTTTTCATGTTTTGAATTTGTGTTCGATTTACTTTAGTTTGTAGTGTATATAGACATTTTTCATGCTTGGGACAAAATTTCTATGAAGGACCGACATGTGTACACATTTTGTGCACACCTAGCAAAACTCATAGATGGAAATGTTTTCTTGAAGAAGTGAATGAGTTTTTCTCAAAAAATAAATTCATATATGCACCAGACTTGAATTCTAATTTCTAAATATATGGTTGGTCATTGTTGAAAAGAAACTACAATTGATAATCATTATTACTTTGATGTTTTCAATGAGGTAATATACTTTTATTCATGGAGTTAACGACCCGGTTTAATGATAAATCAGTGGAACTCCTTTCTTTGAGTGTTTCATTTGATCCAAAAAATTCATATGAGTCGTTCAATGTCGATGCTATTTGTACTCTTGTAAGGAAGTTTTATCCCGAAGATTTTAGTAGTCAGGACATTCGTGCTTTGAAATTCGAGCTGCAACACTATGTTCATGATATGATTCATGATATCAAGTTTCAAGTATCTACACTTGTTAAATTATGTGAGGAATTAACTAAAAGCAAAAGGTGTGATTCATATGTTAAGATGACTAGATTGATTCACTTCGTATTGGTCTTATTGTTTCTACTGCAACAGTAGATAGAATGATCAGTTTCTGTCGTGAAACTTCTAAAGGCAACACTCTGCAATAAAATGGATGATAGTTTTCTTGTTGATTGCATGACACTTTACATTGAAAAAGATATTACTCTCAGTATAGATGTAGACTCTATTGTTGATGAGTTTTTTGTTTCAAAGCCTTGTCTAGAACAAATTTAGGGGATACCTTTTATATTTGATTTTTCGCTTATTTTGAAAAAAAATCAATGTATTATCAATTAAAACTTTCAGCCCAGCCCAACATTAAATCCTGGATCCGCCCCTGGATACACTAGCTTATATACCTATGGAGGATGAGATGTGTGAAATTCATTTTTTTCAGTTATGGGTTAAAAGGTAAAAAGGGTATGTAGAACTACTAATTTTAGTAGGTGCTAGCCTTACCGATTCACATACACAATAGCATCCAAAGGATGATGAAGTACACTGATTTTTTTATACATATTTCTAATAAGGTAATTAAGTAAAAAAAATTAATTATCTTATGAAAAAAGGATAATACTCTACCCGTGAGGACTGGGCTGGACCGTTAACTAGAAAGATTTAAGTTGAACTCAATCATAACCTGACAGATAGTGATCGAGTTAGATAACTGGTGTGCTAAGACAGTTGCAAAAACATCTAAATCATTTAGGAGACATAATTAGGAGCACCTAACACAATTTTTTGATCAACTAAAATTTTCTTTCCCATTAAATCAAGAATAACTGAGATGCATCGCGCGGCTACAAAATATACACATGTATCATAATCATTTGTTTGTTTCTCAAAAGGAAAATAATAATAACAACAACAACAATAATTATTGGCAGTCCGCTTATAATAATCCCAAGTATCGATTATTTGAGAATAATCCCAACTTTAGGGACCTTTCATCAATAATGGTCCGACGTTACCGGCTACGTGTTCAGTCAATTAAAAAAATACTAGATTATAATAATCCGAACTATCATATGTAGACTTTGGTAAAAAGTGTAAAAGAGATTATTAAAATTTATTTTTCACTTAATTATCTTTTTTTAGGTAGTTTGTGGAATTAAGGAATATAACTATATAATTATATAATAAGAAAAAACTTATGTAAATTTCAAAATTAAAATTTCATAAAATGTAAGATACTATATATAAATATATTAAAGAATATAAAATATATAAAAAAAGAGAGTAAAAAGGTAAATATAAAAACCTTAAGGGAAAAATGAAATTCAAATTAAGTACAATTCAAATTAAAAAATGAAAACCTTGTTTTTTAAAATTAAGAAAGTGAAAAAGATAAAAATACTAATACTTTATTTTAAAATAATACTACATAATACTTTATCTTAAAATATAAAAAAAAATTAAAAGCTTATCATCCTAAAATATTAAATCATTTTAATTTAGTTAAAATTAATAAAAATTCGTGAATTTGTAAAAGAACCCAAAAACAGTTATTTCGCAAAAATTACAATTTTTTTCTAAAAATAAGAAAAATTTGTAAAACGCAATACGTTTTTAGTTTTTGTTGAACTTTCATTTATAAAATTCAAAATTCAAAATTTAAATAAATTCTACTTCATGTTGTAAAAGAATGGAGTTGATGGTTGAGATTATTAAAAATTAACGGGCATAGTTTAGATTATTTATAAAATATGCTTAGTTTCTATTTAAAATTGACCTATTATAACATACGGAGTATATGTTATATCCGGTCATGGATCATTAGGCTAATCGCAACCCAGCCCGTCAATAAATCTAATTCCACTCCAGTTTATACGTATTTACTCAGTCAATTCAGTTTTTCTCTGCAATCCAGCACCGCCAATATATATTCACTCAACACATTTTATTTTTAATTAAATGTTTGAATCCTTTACTTTTTTGTTACACATTATTTATGCAACATTTTTATTTTTATCTGTAATTATGATTTTAAAAATATCAAAAAAAGTGAATTAATTTGAAGTATAAAAGTGAGCACTTGAATTCGATTTGAAATAAATTTCAATAAAATGCACAATATCAATTTGAAGTTTAATTTTTTTTGTTGCTTCAGACCTATTTTTGAAAACATAAAAAATGGGCAGATTTAAAAAAAAATTGAAAAATGAAAGATTAAAAACTTAGAAAAAGTTCAGATTAAAAACTTTCCAACAATTTTTTTTTAATTTATATATGCTACATTGGTGTCAAATGAAAGATGATAAAAAATTATGAATTTTGGTATATTGTTTATAAAATTTGGAGTATAAATGAATAAGTTATGATAATTTAAATAAAAAGATGTTTTATTTTACAATAGGTCCCACATGTTGTTGGCTTCCATGGCTCTTAATTCCATGCTCAATTGGTCATCCGTAAGGCCCTGTTTGGATGGAGTGTTTGGAAGTGTTAGTAAGTGTTAGTAAGGGCTCGGAAGGGAAAGGAAGTGTAAGTGTTGGACATAATTTTACCTTGTTTGGGAGAGTCAAATGAATGAAGTGTTAATAGTGGAAGTGTTAATAATTTTACCCTGAGGCCAAAAAAACGATTAAAGAGAAGAGATGAAAAAACAAACCATCAGACCCGTGAGAAAGACATTTGAAATGAAATGTCGAAGCATTTTATGTTTTTCGGGTAAATGAGAAGGGTAATAATTGTCCAACACCTCAAAACACTCCAAATCGGGGTGTTAAAAAAATGGACAATTGAGGTGTTGGGAAGGTTATTATTAACACTTTCTAACCATTACTAACACTTCTTAACACCTCTGGATTTTTCTCTCAAACAAGTGTTAGCATCAACATTTACTAACACTTCCATTACTAACACTCCTCAACCCTCAATCCAAACAGGCCGTAAGAGTGAATGAAGGTCTTAGCTATCCCTCCCCAGGTTTCCTATACCCACGATGGCTCCCCCCATATACAATTTTTCGCTTGGGTTGCACTTCATTTGGGGGTGAATACTTTAAATTTGGGATTTTCACCCCATAGGTTGCGGGCAGCCTTAGTGATAGATAGTTCATATAGTTGAGATTATATAAAAATAATCAATAGTTAAGATTATTATTAGCGGATTGACTATATTTCGGTTTATAATTTTCAAATCTCCTTCTTAAAATTATACTTGGTATATACCCGTGCATCACACGGGTACTATACTAGTTGTGTTATAATAAGAAAATGTAAGATTGTAGTTACTTTTCTGGTGTATTAGTCGACGTTACTCTAGAAAAACAATTTAGCTATTTTTCCATACCCTACATAATTTTTTTCTTTATTTAATTAATAAAAAGGATTTTAGATATATTTTTTCCCATAATTCATCAGATTGAGCCGATTCAATCACTTCACTAAATAACATAAATTTCTACAAAATCAAGGCAGCCGATTTTTGTGTTATTAAACAAACTCTATCATTAGAATATTATTATTAAAAAATCACATAAAAGCGCGAACGATGACAGCGTGTATGAGGTTAAGAAGTCGCTATCCGCCACATCATCATGGATGCCACCGTGTGCTCGAGAGAACCCAGCTGGAGATAGAGGGGAAAAAACTGCAGATTATACTATACATCCGGGTGTATATACACCCAGTTTTTAAATGACGTGGCAACCATATTCCGTCTTTTCTTTCTCTTTTTCAGCCGTTTTCTTTCCTTTCTTTTCTCCCGGCGTTCTCTTTCCTTTCTTTTCTTCCGCCATCCTCTTTCCTTTCTTTTCTTCCGCCATCCTCTTTCCTTTCTTTTCTGCCGCCATCCTCTTTCCTTTCGTTTCTATTTTCTGCCGCCATCCATTTTGATTGTTACGTTTTAGGGTTGTTTTTTGTTTGTTTTTCTGTACTTTTACTGTTAGCTATTTTACTTTTCTTTTGTTTTGCCTTTTACTTTTTTGCTTCTTTTCGTTTCTTTTGTTGTTTAGTTCTTCTTTTTTATACATTATACTAAGCAAATTAGAAATGAGTTTTACCTTAAACTCTGTGAAACAAATTTTAAGTATTTACTTAAAATTGATCGCAAATAATAATATGTGAAAATATTGGGTACAATCTCTAAATATGAATCCTCTGATTCTTCACTTGCAATTTGATATGAATATAATTAAAGTATTTAATTAAAAATTAAATCTCTAATTCTTCAAATATTTGAACGTTCTTCGGATCTTCGAATCTTCGTTCTTGAGATCTTCGAATCTTCGAACCTTCGTTCTTCGGATCTTCAAATCTTCTTGAATAAAGAATTCAGCTTGAAGGGCCTCCGGTTTTCAAGTGGCTTGATCTTCAACAAAAGGGCCGTTTTATGGCTTGATCTTCTGTTTACGGGCCTCCCTGGATATATGGCTTGATCTTCAGTTGAATCTTGATTCAATTTTCATATGAATATCTTCAAATCTTCAAAGATTCGTTCTTCATATCTTCGAATCTTCAAAGCTTCGTTCTTCGGATCTTCGAATCTTCAAGCTTCGTTCTTCAGATCTTCGAACGTTCTTCAACTTTTTGCTTTGTTTGATCAAGAATAGATGAAATCACAAAGGATTATTCATATATTCTTGAAAAAAACGTGGCTTGATATCTTCCGATGCTTCGGAATCCTTCAGAGCCTTTCGGGAGTTCTTCAGAGCTTTTCTGCAGCGTTTCTTCGACTGGAAGTTCTCCTTTATTCCTCTCATCTGAGACCCCTATTTATAGGTGTGGAGGGAGTGAAAATGTGGCCTAGGGTTGCAGAAATTCGTCCATATACCTTGGGCCTCAATTAAAATGGGCTTCGTGCTCTATTTTCTTGCATTTTATTAGCTAGAAAAATCAGCACTTATATAATGTATCTGGACAGCTTTCTTAACAAGGTTCAGAGCTATTTCTCATGCATATGAGCATATTTTTAACCAGATTCGTCCTCTTTATCAATCGGATCATGCCTCTTATGTATTGAGCCAATATTTGATGACGGGCTCAAAATAGAGAAATTAAAAGGACCGGACCATTCTTTTAAAGATTTAATTTATAATTAAATTAATTGGACATTTTAAATAATCCAAATTAATTTAACCACTAAATTCAGCTCACTATCTTCTTCTTTCTTATGAGGCCAAAAGAGCATCGCGAGCGGTCGAACAGAATTGAACATCAGACCAAAATCATTTGAAAACAGCCCAATCATTTATATTCAATCTTAAAGCTCAACTGATTCACATAAATGGCCCAACCATTTTTATGTGTCCACAAATGCCCCCTCGAGAGTTGTTTGGATCTTCGAATTGAGAGAAAAACAAGTCTCGAAATAAGTGGACTCAAAATTTCCTATAGGCCCAAAAAAAATTTGTACCAAATAAAGCCCGCAAGTAATAATTTTTTTTTCGGTGCTTATTCAACTTATTAGCCACGTAAGAATCAAATATCCCAATAGGAAGGATTCTATTCAATCTCAAATTCTCAACTTTAGCATTCTAGTTGGTATCAGGACTTCAATTCTTTACATGTGACTTGAAGTTCATCACGTTCGAGACTTACGTTTCTACTCAAACTCTACTACCAATATCTATAAATATTAACCTTGCTGCTTCCTTTCTGCATCAAAAATTTGGCCGAAGCCTTAGGAAGAGAGATCGGCAAATACACAGGTATACTTTTGTCTTCTCTTTTCTTTTAACAATTTGCAGGGGAAATTCGGCCAAACCAAAATCCATATGCTTTAGTTGGTGAGGAAGAAGTCCAGGGGCGGATCCAGGATTTAATGTTGGGCTGGGCTGAAAGTTTTAATTGATAATACATTGATTTTTTTTCAAAATAAGCGAAAAATCAAATATAAAAGGTATCCCCTAAATTTGTTCTAGACAAGGCTTTGAAACAAAAAACTCATCAACAATAGAGTCTACATCTATACTGAGAGTAATATCTTTTTCAATGTAAAGTGTCATGCAATCAACAAGAAAACTATCATCCATTTTATTGCAGAGTGTTGCCTTTAGAAGTTTCACGACAGAAACTGATCATTCTATCTACTGTTGCAGTAGAAACAATAAGACCAATACGAAGTGAATCAATCTAGTCATCTTAACATATGAATCACACCTTTTGCTTTTAGTTAATTCCTCACATAATTTAACAAGTGTAGATACTTGAAACTTGATATCATGAATCATATCATGAACATAGTGTTGCAGCTCGAATTTCAAAGCACGAATGTCCTGACTACTAAAATCTTCGGGATAAAACTTCCTTACAAGAGTACAAATAGCATCGACATTGAACGACTCATATGAATTTTTTGGATCAAATGAAACACTCAAAGAAAGGAGTTCCACTGATTTATCATTAAACCGGGTCGTTAACTCCATGAATAAAAGTATATTACCTCATTGAAAACATCAAAGTAATAATGATTATCAATTGTAGTTTCTTTTCAACAATGACCAACCATATATTTAGAAATTAGAATTCAAGTCTGGTGCATATATGAATTTATTTTTTGAGAAAAACTCATTCACTTCTTCAAGAAAACATTTCCATCTATGAGTTTTGCTAGGTGTGCACAAAATGTGTACACATGTCGGTCCTTCATAGAAATTTTGTCCCAAGCATGAAAAATGTCTATATACACTACAAACTAAAGTAAATCGAACACAAATTCAAAACATGAAAAATGTCTATATACACTACAAACTTTTGCCCAAGAACTCACTTTTGGGCAATTAATGTTGTTGAAGATACTCAAACACTTTACAAGTTCATGTGAACATGCTAATCAAGTTCTTAATTGAATCATATTTTATTGTATTTATTACATTGATGCTTTGTGGGCTTTATGGCCATTATACGTATAAATTAAGTGCCACTTATTAAGTGGGAGGTGATGTGTATAACATTTATATTAGATTTTTATATGGTAAGATTTTGTTTTATAGACTTGGCTGAAAAATTGGACTGGGCTATACAAAAACCCGGGCTGGGCTAGATGGAATTATGTCAAAATAATACCTTAAAAAACTTATTTTTTTTGCTTTGCCCTGGGCTTCAGCCCACCATAGCCCTAACATAGATCCTCCCCTGGGAAGAACCATATCTGCTCTCAATTGACGTGAGAAGAATTGTGAAATCATAATTGATGATGCTTTAATTTGTTGCTGATTTGTGGCGAGGGAGCTCTGTGGCGATCTGCTCACCGCCGAAGCAGAGAAGAAGATGAAACTTGAATAGTTGCGGATACCTCTTGCCGGACTGCTCGGATTGGAAGCTAGTTGGTGTTGGAAAAGATGCTGCCGCCTCTTGCCGGATTGCTCGGATTGGAAGCTAGTTGGTGTTGGAAAAGATGCTGCCGCCTCTTGCCAGATTGCTCGGATTGGAAGCCAGTTGGTGTTGGAAGCTAGTTGGTGTTGGAAGCTAGTTGGTGTTTGGAAGGGAGTTGGTGTCGTCGTTTGAAGGAACCTGCCGCCGTACACGAGAGCTAGTTGGTGTTTGGCAGATTGCTGGTGTCGGATGCCGCGGAAGCTAGTCGGTGTTGACGCTCATAGAACCTGCCGCTGTACACGAAGAGCTAGTTGGTGTTTGGCAGATTGTTGGGGTCGGATGCCGCGGAAGCTAGTTGGTGTTGACAGCAAGAATTTGGATCCAGATGCTGATTTTTGTTGCTGCCGCCGAGATGATGGCGCATGTGCTGTTGCCGTCGGAAATCGATGCCGGAGCTTGGTGTATGATTTATGCAGTTCGTCGGAGAGCTATCGTCGCTGCTGATTCGTTACTGGGACTTGAAGTTGGTTGCTAGTCGGAGAAGAAGCCATCATCAATATTGTCAAAGGCCGAAGTCTAGACGGGGAAGACGATTGGCCGAATTAGACATTGATTTTTGTTCAATAGAAAAGCCTTTCTTTGATGCTGCTGCTAGTCTTCTTTCGAAGTTTAATTTACCGGGTTGCGGGTTCCTTACAAAAAGAAACCGTGTGTTAAGTTATTGGCAGCAGCAATACTTTTTGGACCTTATCATAAATCTCGAACGTTCCCATTCCTGGCCTCATTATTTGAGATTGTTTTAAGATATTTAAGCTCTTCCAAATTCTCGGCACTAACGAATAATTCATGTCTCCTTTTTGACAATTTTATTATTATAATTATTATCATTATATATGATAATAATAAAAATGATAATAATGACCTTTTTTTGCTTGTTGTAGTGCAAAATGGTGTATCTTAAAGATGTCAGGCATGGCATCAAAAAATATCTCTCCATATCAACGAACAAGAAGAATGATGATGAGATCTTTTAAGCCCTTTGCTCGTGGTTTCTGGCCGGAGAAGGAATCTGCTTTGCCGCTGGGATCTCTCGCTGTTCGTCGGAGAGAGAAGATTCCCGGAGAAAAGGAGATCGAGGGGTCGTCATCTCTGCAAGGGATCTATGACCTGGCTTGATTTTAAGAATTATTGGGCCTTTAATCATACCCGGTTCAGAATTTAAGCCTTCCCATTTTTTAAAAGGCTTGATCTATATTCCTCAACTGGAGCTATTTAATAACAAAGAGACCCGATTTCCTCCCATCTCAAGTGATTTAATCACTGCACCACTTATGGAAGAGGACGATGTTTGACTGATTTTCGACCATCGGTGCCGCTTAGCCCTTAGTTGGGATGACATCGATTTAAAGAATTAGGCTGATTCTCGATTGTTGGTGCTGCTTAGCCCTTTGTTGGGATGACACCGATTTAAGGAATTAGGCCGGTTGCCGATTGTTGGTGCTGCTTAGCCCTTTGTTGGGATGGCACCGATTTGAAGAATTAGACCGATTCCCGATCGTCGCTGCTGCTTAGCCCTTTGTTGAGATATTGGCACTGATCAAGACTCCAAAGACGCCATTGATGTTGTCGTTCAAGAAACCATTGCTTTTGCTGTCGGCGTCACTTGCTCCGTTGTTGGGATGGTGGCATCGTTCAAAGTTCAAGAGACACTACTGTTGCCACTGTTGTCGGCGCCACCTGCTCCGTTATTGGGATGGTGGCATCATTATGGAGACGTCGTTTGAAGCTCAACTCAATCAACTTCCGATGAGGAGGAGATCAAAGAATTCCCAAGACTTTGCCATTCATCTGACTTTTTGATTACGTAAGCCCTCTTCTGATATTTTCTTTGACAAAGTGACTTAATTGGGATTTATTTTGTTATAACTGAACTCAAAAATGAAACTTTTGAGCTGCCTACGTACTCCTATGAAGGAGATCAAGTCAAACGTAGTTCATAGTACCATTTGAATAGGTAATTTAAAGGGGGTGGGGTGCCGTACACAGTTTTAACTCATGTGGGCCAGGAGCTTGCCGTACACATTTTAAACTCTCGTGGGCCAAGAGTATCTATGATTATGCTCACCTATAGACAAAGTGAGATGTTTTAGTAGTTTAGCCACTTACAACATCATTGGTGGTATAAGGCTTTCAACATTTTATTTGACATATCTATACCCCGACATCAAGGGTACTGGATTGTTAGAGTATGAACTCACATATTTGTCTTCATATTGACCACGGGTATGCACAATGATCACTGGCTTGACTTTGAGTGCATTTCCATAGGTTACTTTAACACTGGTTTCTCGTTTCATACGAGATGGGATAAAACTTCTATACTCATTAAGACTTTGCTTTTCGAGAGGAACTTTAGCAGATGTATTGTGTTCATGTTTCAATCCCAATCTTTCATGAACAGACGTTGTTTTGAAGTTTTGTCCCATGCATGGGTCTTCAGCGTACTTCATCATTATCAGGCTCATTCCAAGCCATTCTTGTAAAGTCTTCTTCATGATCTTCTTTGGATTTGGCCCCATTCTGTCAAAGATGGCGGGTCTTGATCTTGCCCCCCCAATCCGATCAAAGACAGAATACTTCGCCTTAGAAGTCACTTCGTCTTCTTCATCAACACTAATATGATGCGTTGCGGCTCTATTTATAAGGATCCTTATGGGTTTCGGCTGAACATAACCCAATTCTGTGTGCCCTAGAAGATTGATCTGCTTCGGTATCCCTTCACCACCAGCTTCCGGAATGAGTTTTCCCAACCTCTGTTCGTTGGGATTATTCCCAGCCTTGGCCAGAAGTTTGTATGCGTTTGGGTCAAATCCTTCATTTGTGCGTGCCTTAGGGAGATGAAATGTCTTAACATCATTCTCGTTTTTCACTTCCTTCTCGGACGTGTTTTGAGGAGGCCTTAATATCTTAATCTTTGGAAGAGGGAATGTAAGCCCTTCCACGCCTTCAAAAAGCTTCCCTTTCAGCTTTGGTTCAATCAAGGGGCGATATTCTTCCTCTTGTCTAGCATTGCCATCTTTAGAAACTTTGGCCTTTAGGTAAAACTTCGCATCTGCAAAGTATGTCTCGGTTTCTGTGAATGGAGTTTCATCGGCCGCTACCTTCTTTACAACACCATTTTGCTCATACATGAAGCATTGGTGCCATGTTGAAGGAATTACACCGTTCTCATGGATCCATGGGCGGCCCAGAAGAAGATTATATGAAGCCTTTGCGTCAATGACATGGCACAGAGTGCTTGCCTTCAGCTCGCCAATGATCAAATCAAGACGTATCATTCCAATTGCCCGTTGCCCCCCTTGATTGAAGCCTTGAATCATCAAGCGGCTTTGGGAGAGTTCATCCATTGATATATCAAGGTCTTTCATAGCTCGAACCGTCAGAATGTTAACGGCAGACCCTTGATCAATCATAATTCTTTTGAATCTTTGTCCACGAGTGTATCCTTCGACAAAGAGTGGACGATTATGAGGGGTTGCGCCCAACATGAGATCTTCATCTTTAAAGATAATATCAGTGGCATAAGAGGTTGATTTGCGCGCTTTTGTTTCTTGTTGCTCAACCAAAGATCGAGATGCACATATCTGTGAACTTTCAATCTCATTTTCATGAGTGCTAAGGCAAGAACTTGAAAATTGATTTATCTTGTTCTTGAAATTCTTTGGCATGTAATCATCTAGAGTAACTGGCCTTCGCACAATCTTGGAACAAACATCAATCTTTCTTTCCTTCTTTAGCTTGAGTTTATTTTCCTTCCTTTTCTTGATCCATTTCTTCACTTCCTTCACTGGGGACGAGATCAACTTGTGCCTCTTAATTTGTTTATCTCGAGCTACTAAGATCCATGGACCTTCTTTGCCATTATTTTCTTCATCTCTCACACTTTTGTTGAAAGGAGAGTCATTTCCCATCTGTTTGACAGTAAAAGGAAGTCTTCGATTGTGAGAGTTCTTGCTCTCTTCTTTTGAGTCATCTTTGACTATGAGTGGAGAAAACTTACCAAAAGTGATGGCAATTTGGTTTGTGCTTGCAACGGAATCATCGAGCTCAATCTTTCCTTCACGAGCGAGAGCCATAACTTTATCTTTAAGCACCCAACACTTCTCGGTGGGGTGACTTAGAATTCGATGATACTTGCAGTAGTTGGGGTCATCAACCTTTGTAGCTTCCTCGGGTCGTTTGGACTCGGGCAAATCAATAAGCCTCAATCTCATCAGCTCCTCAAACATGGGAGGAACGTCAGAGTCTAAGAAAGGGTACTTCTTTTCCAACATCTCTTCTAGAAATGATTTAACACGTTTTGACGCCTCCAAGTCGACCCTAGGAACTTGCTTCGAATTTCGAGTGAAGATCTTAACAGGTGCAGTCTTCGCGACCATTGCTTCTTTCGTTTCAAACTTAGAAAAGGGTTTGCCCCCATTCTTGGTATCTTGTTTTTCAACAACATCGTTGATGGGACATATACCCATGGTTTTCCTTCTACTGCTTGCAATGCTTAGTTCCATGTTACGAGCTTTGCTTGCTAGCTCGTCAAAAGTATTTGGATTTACTCCTTTGAGAATGTAACACAACTCCCAATGCATTCCTCCTATGCACATATCGATGGCAGAGCTTGTAGAGATCTGATCTTTACAGCTGAGGGCGAGATCTCTCCAACGTTCTATGTAAGATATCACAGGCTCATCTTTCCATTGGCGAGTAGTAGTCAACTCGAGCAAACTAACCACCCTCCTTGTGCTATAGAAACGGTTTAAGAACTCATGTTCCATATCTTGCCAGTTGTCAATGGAACCGGGCTCTAGATCAGTATACCAGTCAAAAGCATTTGATTTCAGGGAACGCACGAACTGCTTGACAAGATGATCTCCACTTGTTCCCGCATTATTGCAAGTTTCCACAAAATGGGCAACATGCTGCCTTGGATTTCCCTTCCCATCAAACTGAATGAACTTCGGCGGCTGGTAACCAATAGGCATCTTTAGATCCTCGATCCTTTGAGTGTATGGCTTAACATAGGAGTAAGTAGATTTGCTTCCTTCTATCTTCCCCTTTATGGTTCCCATGATGAAGTCTTTAAGTTGATCAATCGGGATCATGCCCCCAGAGGTTGAGATATCCTTCCCCGAATCTTCTTGGTGAGGATCATTCTCTTCATGCATTTCGGGATCCTTTTCATGAGTATGACTTGACTCACCTTTCAAGCTTTCTACTTTGTTGTTCAGATCATTCAACTTTTGGTCTTGAGATTGCATGAACATACTCATCCCCTCGATGACCTTAGTTAGATGGGCGATTTGTTCTTCCATAGATGTGGTGCTTGTCGTCATAGTGGGCATGACGGTGTAGACATTTGACCACCGCGGAGTAGTTCTTCGTGGAGGACTTGATGGGGGAGTAGAGTCTGCTTCAGATGATGAGCTTTCACCTCCGCTTGTCCACTTCGGGGAAGTAACTTCACGTATGGGTGAAGAAAGCTTCCAGGCCATTTCTTGCGCAATTCGAGATCCATCCATTGCATTGGGAGTAGTTCCCGAAGATGACTGCGCAGCCAGGATTCTTGACCGGCTCCTAGTGATAGGGCCTTGCTTGTTTTGATTTGAGCTTGACGATGCTCGAGAATTCAAAGTGAACACGGGCTTGCTTGACGCCATTGTTTCGTTTTCCTTGATTAAAAGTGAAGAGATGAGAGGTAGAGTTGTCCCACCGGGCGTG